GGGAATGATGCAGCCCGGATAACAATTTACGACCCTGCCGGTTTTTTCTTGCGTTTTTTGGCAGTCTTTGCAAGAGCATCGCATATCTCTCGTTTACGTTTGGAGATTATATTGTTATTCTGCTCGTCAGGAGCATTCACAGCAGCATCCATGTTATTTATCTCAATCTTATTTCGAGCCTTTAGCGCATCCTTCACAAAAAATTTCAGCCTCCACAAAGTCGATTCACTCTGCCCCACGATCGGCATAATAAAGAGAATAAATATGAAAACAGTCAAATACAGATTACAGAAAAACTGAAGTGGTGTACACAATCGTCAAGTATATTGAAACGAATAAAATTATTAGTTAGATTTTTGTACGGTTCTGCTGATAACGAACCTGAGCATTTATGTCGAGCTCGACCTCTTCGGAATTGGCTTGGAAGTCAGGGTTACTCTGAGCAACAATATCGAGTGCCTTGCTAAGGTCTTCAGGGCATAATTTGGAGAGGGCAGCCCCTAGCTTTCTTTTCTCCAAGGTAGATAAGTGTCTATAAATGTGTTCCACAGTTAGCATTGAATCGATGAAGTATGATAAACAGCATAATATTTACTCAGTAATTTTCAGATTAAAGCACATAAACTATTCTTAAAAAATAGTTTCTCTTCAAAAATTACATGGCAGAATGAAAGGATGTATCAGTTCTATGTGCACGCCAACTTTCATCAAATGAAACTTCATAAAACCATATCTACGGAATCTGTCACTCATTATTAAAGTGAACATCTCGTTTGACCAGATACTAAGATCAAGGCTACAAAGAAATGTCATATAAACTAGTTGAAGTTCAAAATGATAGGAAGGGGACTGTATATGTAGGATCTGAACTGTACTTGCAGTGAGATCATGTAAATAAAACTATCCCAGTTCTATTAACATTTTACTTTTTGGATCTCTTACAATATAGTTAATTTTACTACAAGATAGTATAGGAGTAATAAAATTGAACTGTGATATTTATTCGACACCTCTAGCTTCAAAAAAATAATAAATGATTTACTGTAGCATGTAGTGAAAACAGTCTTCACAAATCCACCAAATGTTTGGAACTTTGAAAGAACAACCTAAAATGCATTAAAGATCTTTTAATCCGTTTACCCAAGGCCATAAACAAATCTAAATTTGCCTGTGCTTTCAAATATTGTTAGCAAGCAAATCGCCACAGAGCCTTACACCGTACGGTATGAGATATGAACAGAAATAGGGCGTAAAAACCGAGTATTTAGAAACTTAAACTAACCTGCAATTCCTTACCACCATTTCTCTGAGCTCTTCTATATACAGATCAATGTCACAAAGCTGAAAACAGATTGAAGTTAAAATATCAACAATATAGTCTACAAGTCTACAATGCTTT